GGTGCGAAGCACCAAATCCCTGGTTCTAAATGCCAGAAAGGAGATCACCACGAAGCGGGCGCTCGCATTCTGCGGTGGTTTGGGACCCAAAGCCCGGTGGCAGCGTTGTATAGCCAGGTCGATATCTTGGAGTGACAGCTCAGCCTTAATGAAACCGTCCATAAATTCCAACAGATTATCTCCCTATGTGTCTTCCGGAATCCCGTTACACACGGATATTATTTCTTCGTGAGCGTGCTTCTAGATCAGTCAGTTTGGCTTGAATTTTATCTTGGTTGTTAATAGTTTGAGACAGCACCTCTTTCGCTGCTGCGGTCCACTCCTCCATTTCTGCCACACGTTGTAAAGACTCCTCGTTCTCTTTTGATTCTCTTTCATGTCTGACACAACTTCATTTAGTTTTCCATTAATCTTCTCTTGAAATTTTCTTAAATCTCTCTTCATGTCGGCGGTGAAGTCATCACGAAAGCAGCACAGCTCTTCCTTCATGTCTTTACGGATAGCTCCGATGCTAGCTTGAAGCTCTTCCATAGCCATGTGCTGGTCTGATGCGCTTTCATCGAGTAATGAAGTTCTYTCGCCCGTTTCTTCTGTCTGTTTTGATTTCCCGTTACTTTTTGATGCTTTTCCCCTTTTCATCATAAAATAGTCGGTCTTAGTGCGTTAATTCAGCTCTGGCAAAGGGGCTTTAGCCGACCGAGTTGGGAGCTCTATTTCAATGCGTCTGCTCACCTCAGCGCCATAACCGGAAGTCRCAATACATGCTTTTATTTGCACGGTGTGCTCTGGTAGATCAGGTGTCCCATCCACCAGGTGAAAGACAGCTAACAGTCTGTTGATGATTTATTAATGGGTAGCACAGGAATAACTTTCCTTAAATTCAATATCAGTGTTCTTATAGGTATTAGTCTGCACTGTATTTTATTTAAATTACAAAAAGACCAGTTTGTGGGTCTTTCCTGTGCATGTCTCAATCGCAGCTAGTTTTCATGTACTAGCAAATATACAAGCTAACGCTAGCCAACCTACAAGCTAGCACTAGCAAAGAGATATGATTTGAGATATATAAGATTTGATATGATGTGATGTGACATGATATATGATTTATGATATAATGTAGTACCAAATTGTAGGAAAATATGCATTGTTCAAAATGGTATGTCTGAATAAACAGGAATCCGCTGGATTTCTTCTGTAAAACTTTATTTTCATTCTTCTGACTCCAGTCAGGTTCACAGTACAGCACTTAGCACACAGGCCTCAGTAAGGCCTTGGGCTGAATCAAAACAACACAGGAGCCCAGCTCTGAAGCAGAGGCTCTGCCAGACACTGACATACATGATGTACTTTATCAATCCCATGAAGGGAAATTACATTTCGGAACAACCCGTTCAAAAGAAATAGACAAAACACAACAGACTTGCAGAACAGGTGCTCCCGGTCCAGCAGCTGTGCAAGGTGCTACCCTTAAAAGAAAAAAAGAAATACTACATGAGGATAGGTGAGGATAAAAAAATCATCTCATTTTTTGGCCCTACAAGGACAAAATATGGGTTGAAAAAATGCACAAGCTAATGCTAGCCAACCTACAAGCTAACGTTTACCTAATTTCCCTCTGGGATCAATAAAGTATTTTTGAATTTGAATTGAATTGAATTAGCAAGCCKATAAGGTAATAGTGGCAAACCTCAGAGGGATACTTGAATAAAAATACAAATATCTTATCACAAAATTACTTACCATATTTATTATACTATAAAATGAAAAATTAAATCCATAAAATCATCCATAATGTTAGGGGGTCTATACTCGGATCAATATTTTTGCTTATGTATTTTAACTGAAATATCAGCCTCATTCACACAATGCCTGAATCCTGAAATGAGACCACGTTGTAAAAAGTGGTTGAAGTGAGATTAACTCTGACACTCCTTCATGCCTCAGWGYGAGATAGTAACAGATCCAAGCAGGCAACATGATGTGTAAAATAAAAGAATAAAGGCAGTCCTRCAGCTTAGTAATGATAACAAAATAATGGCATTAATGTACGACCGGGCCGCTCCTGGAACAACAACAAACACGTTTGTCTGTAATGGCTGCCATTTACTGGTGTTCTGTAAAAGTTGGTCTACCTGAAAAATGTTTCCCCACCAGAGGGGGCGCTGGCGAGACACAGAGGATGAGATTGTTGTTGAGTAGGATTCTGATGCCTTTTATTACAGAGGAAGAATACAGAAACTTTTAATATCTGTATCACCACCTGACAGAGACACTGAATCCATATTTTTGTGAAGATTTAGGCTTTTAAATGCTACGGTCTTAAATTTTAGATCAGCAGATGAACCTGATGATGTGTAGTTCAGTTTTATGGTTGTTTGAAATAAAATGCTTACTCTGATGGGTTTTTTTTGTCTCATTTAAAGCTTTACTTAGAACCTTCTTAAGATCCAACAGTGCAAAATGTGAATTCTTGCCATTTTTCAACTGGTCTTCTTTAATGAGGAGTGTAATTGATATCAATAAGACCAGAGCTGCTCCACTGACTTTAATGTTGTATCATAMGTAATTATTAATAGTAATTTCAAAATAACATATGCATTTACTAGTACATAAATAGACTTATTGCAGGGCTATTCAACTAAATTGCTCCGGGGGCCACAGTTACTGCCGGTCAACAGCTGAGGGGCCGAACATCCAGCAATTACAGTTATTATGTAAATAAACCAAGTATTACAAAGATCTGTTACCTTTGAATTAGGTTATTTTGTTGCATTTAATCATGAATACAACATACAGAACCCTAGTGATAATNAGTTATTATGTAAATAAACCAAGTATTACAAAGATCTGTTACCTTTGAATTAGGTTATTTTGTTGCATTTAATCATGAATACAACATACAGAACCCTAGTGATAATTAAACATTATCAAAAACAAAAAGAACACTTTCTGCCTCCTGTTTAACACAAATCATATTTTGACATCTCTGACTTGCCAAATTTTTAAACCAATTTTATTTTCACTTTCATCATTTTATCTTCAACTGTTTGGAGTTTTAACTGTTTTGAGTGTTTATAGAAATGGTTTTTACCAGCTTCTAGCTAAGATTCTCATGTTTCTGTGGACACCAATTATGTCTATGTTCAACTAAAAGAACTTAGAGTAATTAAAGTAGAAAACCAGGGGTTTGGGCTTAAGAGATGAATGAACCAATTGGTGGGCCAAACTTTGGTCACTCGGGGCCGCCAGTTGAATAGCCCTGCCTTATTGTTTCAGCTGACTGTTAAAGACTGGCCAGCAGATGGTGCCACATTTAACTGTATCAAATGCTTCAAGACAGAGGTCCATTTCAACATAATTACTTCATATTGATTGAGTCATTCATAAAGTCTTAGTTTCTCCATCACTAATAATAGCAAACCTACTGGTTAACATTAACAAACTAATTGTAGTGAACCAACAGGCTAACACTAGCATGTTTAAAAACGAACCCTAAGACACCGTAAAAGCAAATCTTAAAATGAGTAAATAACTGAACACATTTTTTTGTTCCCACTGGTCTGTAGTAAAGTTGTCTTGTATGAACTCAGTCCATTATTCAACAAACATTGGAGACCACTGATTTCCTTTTATCTCAGCGCTCTTGTTTAAATGTAAGGATCATTAAGAATTGGTGACTGTAACTCTCACGTAGGGATTTCTCTGTGTTCCAGGTGTGAGACGCTTGGACGACGTCCTTCCTGCTCTGAAGTCTCTGAAACAAGCTGCTCAGTGACCTGCAGCTAACGATGAACTTAGAGCTGCGTGTTTGTTAAAGAGTGTGATTTTTTTTCTTGTTTAATAAAAACTGTGAATGCCTGAAACAGAGTCCTTACTGGTACTTTATAACACGCATCTATTTGGCAGTGGCTGTGGCCGACACTTGACCAAGTGTCCCTGGACAAGTCACTGAACCCCACTGCCTCTGATGTGTCCCATCAGTGCATTTAAAGCACTGCTTAGTTTCAATAAATGCATTTACCTGTTAGGTTTGCAGTGAGATGCAGTTAGAGAGCTCTGTGAATGGGTAAATGACATTGAGTATCCTGGTTGGATAGAAAGGTGCTTTATACAGTGCAGTCCATTTACTATGTATCCATTATGGTCATGACTTGTGTGAAATGACTCGTGTTTCCAAATGTAACTGAAAGAAATCATTTATAATTTGTTTCTAAACTTGTCTTTACTGCCTCAGTACCACATCGAGTTCATGTTGATCAGTAGACGGTGTACAGTAGATCATTTCACTCTACACTGACTCATCTTGGCTTCCTGCCACTAAACGATCAGAACAAAACACAGTTTGTAAATTATCGTCAGCATGAAAACTCCCAGCTTGTTCAGACAGGTGATCTGGCAGAAAAAGCATGATTACCGGCAACACACACCGACTTTCATTTATTACTTCTTGTTCTGTCTTCCTGCGTAACGAAGCAACCAGCTGATGTTTCACACAACAAACATCTAATGCAATGTACCAAACTGGGCAGAGTCTTGTAAAGTATTTCACCTTACCTGAACCCTGTGTTTAATATTTTAAATGTAAACTTTAAAGGCTTAAGGGTGCAGTTAGAGTTCTTTTTATGTATGAAGTAGCTGACACGCCTACCCTTACCCTTACCTTAGCCTTACCCTTCAAATTTGGCTACAAATAAAATACTTAAAAAGACACATTTTTACAAATTATATATATACAGGTCCTCAAAAAATAGCATATTGTGATAGAGTTCATTATTTTCTGTAATGTACTGATAAACATTAAACTTTAATATATTTTAGATTCATTGCACACCAACTGAAGTAGTTCAAGCCTTTTATTGTTTTAATAT